ACGTAATCGTCGTATGTTTCACCGTCACGTAAATGTTCGCGCAGATTTGTCACTTTCCTGCAACTTCAGATACCAGAACGAAAGATGGAAAAAACTAGAAAAAATCCAAGTGAAATATAAAAAATTATACTATTAATGCCCCGATTTTCTTCTTGCTTTTGCTCCACAGATCTCTAATATGAAGCTGTCTAATGGACAAATTCTCGAAAATTGCTCAAAAAATTCTGAATTTCAGATGCTATACTGATGGTTGTTCACAAACACAATTGCTTAATAACCTCGGATCCTTGCTCACTGGTGCATTATCGTTTTTCCGGTCTTTAACTAGCAATTCCTTCGTCTTACATAGCAATGTTAAGTAGCCGCACAATGCATCAAGCCCCAACTTATTGCGCAGTACCACCACCGACGGATGCAGTGCAAAGTTCCCTGTAAAAGTTGCGCCGAGAAATACACAGCACAAATGTCATGGTTTCAATGCCAAAATTTAACATTTGCCAAAAACACGAGGAGGTGTGGAGGGAGAAAAACGATGGGAGAAATAGAAAGGGAATGGCAGAATGGCAGCACTACAAATTTTAAATCCACCGACGAAAAAAATACAAATTTTAGAACTCGAAAACACGGGGAGAATCCTGAAATTAGTGTATGTGTCGCCGTGAACAACTAAGTTAAGCTCATATTCTCACTTTCTCCTTTAATTAATCCAATCTTCAGTCGTTACTTGCTGGATAATAAGCAACTTTACCAGGAAGCCAGCCGAAAGAAAACAGCCAGTTTTTTGCTCAAAAGTCAAGCACTTTCTTGAAGAAAAAATAATCTATCAGTTCGCATTTTTTTAAGCAATTTTGCCTTATAGGAAATGGTTCCTAACAAGAATTACAACCCTACTACATCTCCGTACTTTTATACAGCATATCAACTGTACACGACCCCAAAAGGAACTTGAAACTGCAAAGCACTGAAGGAAAAAAAAAGAACTTTGTATAGCTTACCATCCTTTAGGTCTGATTCTACGAATGGGAAAGGCACACTTACAAGTTCCGCATCGTCAGTCACTGCACTGTACTCCTGAAAATGCATTCATTTTACTAAGCTGTATGATGATTTTTGCCAATCCGCTTAACCTCAATTTTGCCAATACTTCAAAGCCAAATTTCTCTACCAAAGCTATAGCTTCGAGTTATTTTTGGTTCAAAAATTTTATTTCACAAAAAAATTACCTGTGCAAGAACTGCGTGAGTTAGAAGGGTATCATTTAGCTGAACTAGACAGTTATCTGTTGGAACAATAACAGGTTCATGGGAAGATGTTGTCAACAGCAATCGCTTGCATCTACGCAAAGCACGTGGAACTACTGGAATTCGTGATCCTTTGCGAATATACATTGAAACTGGTCCATTACCGGCGGTGTGGTACAAGAACAAACGGAACCAGGAAGAGACTGCCTGCAAATTCACCAGCACCTGCACTGCTACCAACAACACCAAAAGAACTTCCATGTATGAAAGAGCAATGGCGGAAGTTAAAAATTTTGTCAAAAAATCAAAAAAATTTCAGCAAACTGGCGAAACATACTTACTTCTGGAACGACAGGGCCGAAATGTGGAATGGAAGAAACTGACAACGGACACGCTTCGCCACTCAGTGGAGCCATTGAGACCAAGCACCTCAAATTGATTTCGATGAGCAACAACACCGCCAATCAGCAATGCTCTTCACAGCTTGTGCAAAATTTAAGAAAACAAAGGCCAGTAAAGTGCCCCGCTCCCAGCCTTTTCCAATCTCTGATGCACAATCCACTCGACGTGGCACTTTTAAATGTACAGGACTTTATTTGACATTTGCGAAATCACTTATTCACAATTCCCACAAGAAATTAACGTCCTCACGGCTAATATCTAGATTATTCTACGAAAATTTCGCGAATTCCAAACTACTTAGCAGTCCTCAGATGGAATTTTGCATTTTTAAATTAGCAACTCCAATTTTTCCTTCCTAGCCAACAATTTTAATATTATCCGGGCACTCCACCGATAGAGACCCAGGCTGGAACGCACCAGGCAGGCCGGTGCGATTATGCGTTTTTGCACTTTTCGTGCCGCAGCAAGATCGCAAGGAATCAAAGTAGC